GTGATTAGGATGCACATAGAAACAAAGTAAAATATGGAATTATGTAAGAGTTCTAAAAATTACAAATGTTATAAGGAGTTAGAAAAAAAAGCACACAAACATCAAGCCAGTAGAAGTCAACATGGTTGTTATCATGATAGTAGAAGTGGTTGGATAGTTTTCTTTTCTATACATAACTCTGGTTTCTCCAACTGAATGGCTAAGGCTTCAGCGATGCAAAGGAGACGAAAACGTAGGTCACTTTGAAGGAGGCGTTTGTTGAGATGGAATGACCAATGTTGACGAGATGTTCGATTATGGCACTCCTTATGCAGCCACTATTACCTTTTTGCAGCCATGTGGGATAGTGTTCTTGAACACTTTTGGACAGGATACTCGTCGAACGACCAATGTATCTGGCTCCACAGCAACAGGTGAACTGATATGTGCACATAGAAGTGGCCAGATTCGCGATTTTTTGACGTGCATATTATCAGTGCCTTAGTACTCTTGAACTGCATTACATTTGCTGCACTTTTATCAGAAAATATCGCTTAATACTGATGGCTGCGCAATGTAGTGGATTAAAGGATGCAGTAAGTTAAGAAGTTAAGTGTATATATTTTGAATTGTCAAGAAATCATGCTAGTATATCTGGCCTACTTATCAAAACACGACAATAGTCACGGGATAATGCAGGTGATGCCACATAATTGCCCATTGAAAAGCATCTAAAGATCCAGTTATCCTGATTTTTAGTTTATTTGCTTTTTCCACATAAATATATACAAACATATAATAAATACATATACATACACGTATAAATAATTCAAAACAGCAATAATAAATTTTTGAATAGAATAACAATAATAATCATAAGTGGCTTCATCAACTATTCGTTTGCCTCATGAACTTGTTATTTTACTCAACATTAATTATTTAAAAAAGCTGTGCTAATGATGAATATAAAAGTGTCTTTTGATTACCTAATAAAATTTGATTAAGTGAATAACAATAAAATAAATTTACTGTCCTTGGTATTTTCTTAATTACCACACTTCTTTGAAATCATACAGTTTTTAAATGACTTGTTTATCTTTAATAGTAATTATCTTTTACCTCTCTATTCATCTGAAGTACTGAAAACAGAAATAACATCGCATAATTATCTTTATACAAAACAAAAATGAAAAGTAAAACAAGGTTAAAGTGTGAAGTGAACATAAAAATTTAAAACTTGAAAAGATTAATTAAGACTTTAACAAACTATAACTTCGAATGTATATTTCCTTTACGCATATAAACAGTACCGAAGAGTTCATGTATAAACTTTTTCCACTGTTAACAGTATCACCTACCTGAAAAATTTCCTACTTTACAGTCAAATATGGCAAATGATTATCTACATATAAAATCCCTGAAAGTTTTCACTGATTAAAGTACAAAAGTAATGTATTTAAACAAGAAAGCAATAAGAGAGAATATAGAATAAATGTTTTTTAAAAATTTCATTTTATTCAGAAGAGGAAAATACTTGAATAAAATTTTACAAGCATGTATTCAATTTCGCATTGAACTTCTAAGGTGATCTAAAATTAAGGAAGCTTACAAATACAAATGCAAATACGTTTTATGAATCGGTGGCACAGCAGTAGAATGCTTGTCGACCACGCAGATGGTCCGGGGTTCGATCCCTGGCCGACGCACTCCATTGCCTCACTAAGCCAGTAATAAGACTGGTATAGAGGGAAGGTTGGGCATGAGGTTAGCAGCCCCATCCCGTAAAAATAAGCGCCACTGCTACTGAAACTTCAAGCCTCTAGCTTGAAGCCCTATGTTCCACTGGGAACGTAAAGGAATTTAAAAAAGCGAATGCAACTCACTGCTCAGTTTGTTGATAAGCAAATTCATAAAGGGTCACCATTCTGTGACCTTTTTGTTGTCTGTTCCCACTGTGTAATCCTGATTTTAACCACCATAGATCAGTTAAAGTATAGTTATCTTCCATTAAATCATTCAAAACGTACTTTAAATATAACAAAATATAATGCACGGTAATAAAACATGTGAGGAACTACTGGACAGCTAATTGTATCGTCTTACGATAATAAGACCAATATAGTTATATGACAGTTTTAACTGTAATCTATTCACGAATATGAACTGTCATCGTTCCACATAAACTTTACTTTTAGAGCCTATATAAGTGATGTATTTTACAATGACAATTTTACTCAAATGACGTAAAGCGTTTAAAGCTGATTATTATTCCCTTGGATTCCGAGTGGAACATAGGGTTTCAACAACACATTTCTACTTTGTTCTGTCCTCTGCTGTCCTCTTCAGCTACGTCCACGATTGACCATAATCCTCATCTCCTCCTTGCATGATCTCCTCCATATCACCCTTGCACCGACGAACCACTTTTCACTTCCCACTCGAGAGCCTGGTGCGCAATGTCAGCGTATGTTCAGTCTATCTCCATTTTCTCCGACATATATGTTGAGCAATCGGCTCCTGGTTGGTTTAAAGCTGATGATTAACACTAATCAGTATCTTTTAATTTTTCTGAATATTATATTCGTGAATGCACACTAATTTTCGTCTCTATTAAAACAATGAGTTCTATTTTTATATTACCTCCTTAGTGTACGATAACAAAAGATGTACCAGATTCCAGCAGGTTTTGGAATTTTATTATGAATACGCTATCAAATACTAAAAAGTGATCGAATAATTTTATTATAATCGGTTGGATAATTACTTACAAATGTTTTTAATGTATTCCTGTCCTCATTTATTCCCTAATTATATATATATATTTCTTCGTCTGCTTCCTCTGAATATATTCCCCTTGATAACAAAATGATTTATTCCCTTATACAACAATTATCTAAATTCATATATATTACAAAAAATCTTTGAACCAGGAAGTCAGAAGGCATTATGCACTTCGCATGAGGAACATGATTCGAATTTTTAACATTAATGTCAAGTAAGTGCTTCTCTATGATTCAGAAACTTTACGCCCGTATCAACAAAAGCATTTCCAGCAGCCTATGTGCGTCGGTGGCACAGTGGTCAGGACTCTCGCCGACCATGCACATGGTCCGAGGTTCGATCCCCTGCCGACACACACCCGATATCTATGGTCGGCCTGAAAAATTTGGGCTACCGATATCCATGCTGAAAATTCCATACTTGTACTAAAAATACGGTGTGGCATCAAGCTGTAACAAAAAAAATACTTCCGTCAACAGTTGCCTTCTCTTCATACTGAAGATCAGATGAACAGTCAAGAAACTATTGCCCAACAATTATGCAGAAGGAAATGGAGATGGATTGGGCATACACTGAGGAAACCGCTGAGTGACAGTATACGTCAGGCCTTTAAGTGGAACGCGAATAGAAGGCGTTTCGGATGGTGGCATGGAGGAAATCGTGTCAGTGGGAGATGAAAGCTTATGGATAATCGTGGAGCTAGCTAAAGACAACTGCAGGGAACAGAATCAAATGCTAATGTGCCTCTAAAACCTTATGGTTCACTAGGAACCCAAGGGAGCAATAATAATATCACCAAACTTAGATATAATAAGTGAACCTATATGTAGTAACGAAGTCGAATTCAGTCAGTTTTTTAAAGAATGAATTCATTTTCAACACAAGTGCTAGGACAGAGTGACGAACGGACCCAAGTTCTAGTATAATTCAGTACAGAATCTCGTCAATGTCAACAAGGTGTTTTGATCATGTCCTTCAGTTTTGAGCAAGCTCATTTACTGTTACAACAGCAACAGAAGCTGTATGAAAACTTCTAAGTGAAACTGATCGAAGTGATTACTGATAAATTACCTTTACAGTTATTTAGTCATCCTCATACTGAGATTATTGATTCTGTCGTTTGATTAGTCACAAAAGCACTGAAGGCTTTATCAGTTGATGCATTATTTGCACAGTTGGGTTTCAATGAATGCATGAAAATTTATGTTAAAACTCAGATCGAAAATCAGGATTCTAATAATGCATCAAAATCTAGTGAAGGCACTGTTTGTATAGAGTCAGCAGATATAATCAGTTCAAACTCAGAGATTTTCATTCCAGTTTCCCCTATCTCAGAGAAGAAGGAAGAATTTTCTCCAGTTTCCACTACATGCCATGTTACTAAAAATGCTTCTAAAGATGTTTTGAACTTAGTTGGTGAAATCTCTTGCGATGTTCAGTTCATCTCAAGAAACTTTGAAGATTTATGTTATGTTACCAATCGTCATGATTTAGATCTATCCGTCATTGATTCAACTGACAAACCATCTTCTTGAGAAATACTTTTTCGTGATACAGATTTTGATGAAACAATCCGAATTCTTTGTAGAATTTTCGGGAAGAATGCATCACTATTCAATACTCGCTATAAATGGTTGATCTTCACCTAGGAACAATGTGATGACATCCTTAATTTTGCTGGTAAAGTCAACCATAAACCCAGCAAGGATCCCACAGTATTTCGCGGGGCAGGTATCATGGAAAGTATTCAGACTTAAAAATATCTTCCAGTGGTCCTCCAACTGAAAATCTACTAAAAAGGGGAGGTGTTAGGACAGACTAACTATCACTGTTAGCCGTAAAATCATGACTGATGCATTCAATTAGATATTGATTATTTACGGTTTAAATTTCTGTTGATGTGTAAAGAATAATTTACTCTGTATTGTGAACATTGTGCAGTTTTTGTCGCAGTAATCTCAGTTAAACCTGACTTCTGTGTGTCTACTCAGTTTGGGAAATATTCCCAAGTGATTAGTTGGCTACAGTGTTGTGACTGGAGGTTCATTCTATTCAGCATAGGTAACGAAAACACTAAACACTCGTTACAACAACATATATTTGTAAAATCTGGACATCTAACAAAGATTATAATAAAGTAATTCAACCTGTTCAAAAGATAAAGGTTGTGAGCACTATAAAAAGACTTAAAAACAGTAGTAGTAAATATTTTGCATAGGAGATATATTTAAAATATTCAACAGATGGAAGGATAAAAGTTATTGGCCGTAAAAAAGTATTAATTAAATGCAAAAAAGAGAAAAACAAAGTCAACTGTCAGAATTCTTACAATTTTCTTTCTCATTTTTTGAAATTGTGTTTAACACATCAATCGGAATCCAATAATTTGATTTGTCTTCTTCTTGAATATATGGCGTTCGAATCACAGTGCTCTTGGACTCAACATCACCAATTTCATCTTTGTCCACAACTACTCCCACCTCCATTTTTGTATGTTCTTTAATACGTCTTCTCCTTGAAAGCTTGTAAACATCATTTAATAAATCTAAGCCAAGGTTTTTTGCCTCTGCGCTGCCAACGAACCACTTTGGTGGTATCGATGGGTTTTTATCAAGAAATTCAAGTGCCTAGATTCATTCATTAAGGAAAAAAATAGGTTCATACCTCTTTAATCTTGTCGACAGTATACTTCTTTTTCAAAACGCTGTAATTAAAGTCATCATTCGTCATTACTTGAGGAAATATCTCTGTCATACGTATAAGCGTTTTTCTTTTGGATTTAGCGAACACTGTCAGATGTATCTATTCAGCTTGTCATATGAAAAACCATACAAACGAGAGCAGGAACAACTGGTGTATAAATAAACCAAACAGTTATTTTTCTAATAAAGTATAATTATATTTCAATAGTTTACACACAATGATAAGTTTTGTTATTGGTAATATTTCTGTTTTCTAGATACCATTTAATAAAAGAATTAGCAACAGAAACGACATTTTTGCTTTATGAGAAAATATTGCTCAGTTTGTCAATAACCCATACAAAACGTCTAAATGTACGTTTCTGAAAAAAAGACAGGTAATATGAGAATATTAAGATAAATATCATTTCTAAGGTATCTCAAGATAATGAGATGGGTGTACTCCCAATGATTTGACTATAAATGTATCTTATTTCACATCATTTTACCTCGTGTAGAATACTAGCTTATCCATAACATTAAAAGTCATGCATAAACAATTAAAATCCTGGACTCTTATGCTGAAATAAGCACTGAAAATTATTCAAAAAGGGTAGCTTAAATAAATTTAAAGAAGTGAAACTAATAACCATTGTCAAATGTAAGGCTAAATTCCGCTAATGAAGAAAAATCCTGAATAAAAGGGAAAAAGCAAACAGTGTATTAAAGGTGAGTGCTAATAAAAATTTCGCGAATGTATGGGGGATTCCAAATACCTAAAAGTGAAATCAACCTATTTGGGAACTTAGGGAAGACAGGAGTAGAACTACGGTGCTCAAAATCAAGCAACTAATACTAATACAATATAACACGAATCATGATATTGTCTTGAGATCACATATTACTCTAGAAACCATTAAATGAAGTAAATTTTTAGAATCTATGAGACTCTAGTGTATTTGTAGTGCATTATTGAACTAATACTGAAAAAATTTCCCAAGCATCTTCAGGAAATACCTTAACTGCCAGATGCTTCACCTGCATAAACTGGTCAATAGTGTATAGAGAAATTATGTATTTAGCTAGCTGAACCTACAGAATGCCACAGCACTTGTAATGATATCTATGCAATTTAGGACTCTAATATACCCAAAACAACAATTTAGTTTTCAAACTGTTTATGGTTGGCAACAGCATGTGTAGATCGTGTAATTTATGGTACATTTGGATGTGTCTTTTTATTCAAATACAACTCTTACATGACTATTTATCTGTTCTGTTTACTTAATTTTACCCACTGAATCACCATTTTTAATGTCCAATTTTATTTTTAGCTTAGGACGTTGCACGAAGGCATGTAGGTACATGTTGCCACACTTTGACAAGTGAAGCAACTGAATGTGATTGAACCACAGTAGAGAAAGGCGTATGCTGCAGAGAATAATTAAATGAAGACTAGTGAATTTTTCAGAATCTGGATTATCACAAAAATTACAAACACTTGAGTCACTGGACACAATTTTAGGCATATCATCAAAAGTCCTCAACTTGTCAACATCCTGTGAACAACAGCCAGGAAGTCTAAACCTCTGAATGCAGCTTGAACCAATAACTAGTGAATAAATGGATTGGTGGCATGTTTTGTTCTGACCACGATAGTTTCTGCTCCAGTTCAAGAATATTTCAACAACCACTGCTCGTCAAGAAAGACAATGACTTAACACATATCCTAGCCAGCCCAGTCAGTGTGATTTTCCAACCTCAACGATGGGTCTCCATGATTACCTAACGGAATGCTTCACCTCATTATACTTTCTATCTAGCTCCACCAAAAGTGACCGAAGACATACCTAAAGCGAGAAACATTTGACCTTTTCCTTTCTCATAATTTCACTTTATTTGACTAGTAGTTAGGGATGACACAAGCTGGCATATACCCACCCCAAGACTTCATTAGCAACTAGTTCATTACGAACGACGCAACTTTTTGAACTAGGATTTGACGTAGACCAATCCTGACAGGAGCTAAACGTATCTCAAACAAACTAAGATCCTGTCTTAAGATATTCAGCAAACTGCACTATCTGTACGTCTTCATCTAAAAGAAATATAACGTTTTTTACTCTAAATCAGTCAGATTGTCATGATAAAAGTCAACCAATCTTTGTTTCAAGGTTAACTATGCCTCATATATTAATATATATACATAGTGGGACTAGATAAGACATGAGAGCTTGTATATTCCTGATGGACATCACTGGTTGTCATCATTTCAAATAGCACTTATTCATAAATTCTTACGTGGTCGAATGAGTCTGAACAAAGTGTCTTGATCAACACAACATACTTTCTTGATAACCTCTTCTAGACTAGACATTAGCACAGCATTTTGCAAACGGAGTCAGGAAATATGTTAAGTATTATTTCTGCATTCCAGTACCTGCAGGAGGCTGAATACATGGCCAATACACTCTCACTAAGGCCTGAAATGTGTCTCCTCTTTTTAGGTTCCTCTTTCTGAAGCCACATTCAGTCTTTGTAGGAATATGGAGCGACAGAGACACAGGAAGCGAAATCAAAAGCACACTGCTTTTATCTTATGCCGAGATGAAGCACAAAATTATAGTGAAGTGTCACTGCACATTCAGACGTAAAGACAGTAAGAGAAAAACGGATGTCTCTCTCAGCTTATGAGTAGTATTAACAAGAAAGTTTAATTAAAAATTATACTTGCTCTGAGGATTTCAGGAAACATGATTATGTTCAGTCCTGGCTGTGGCAGAAACAAGGCCGTGACTTTAGATTTCATAGTCAGTAATATCACAGTGCCGAGGAATGTAAGATGAGTGATAGGTTCAATCAAAAAGTGGGGAAAGTGCGAAACAGACACAACGAAATTTATTAACCGTTTACTCTGGACCATTTAAGAGTAGCTGTTGATTAAATATTATAAATAAGTTCTGCTAGTTGCTCATGTTGATCCGCTTTACTCAAACAAATAGTACTTCTACCCTAATAAATTCATTTAAGTATCCGCGTACTTTTCACGCATACTTATCCAGAATTTTATTATTCTGCTGCTCTCAGCTTATTTCTTCAATACTGCTGAAAAAGTAAAACATTTCAGTGAATTCAAAGAAAATCGTTTTTGACCTTACTAATATTATACGCTTCACAGTCTTATTTTTACTTGGGTAGCCGCCAGTGATCACATACCTTATTATTTTGAAATATACATGTTGAAGAAACAACCTCAGGATATGAGACAGTTTTTATGTCGACTGAAATGTTGAAAGCTGCCACAAAGAACATACACACAAGAGTACATGCATGAAAGATGAAGGATTACTCCGTGCTCTTGTTATTATAGAAATAATAATTTTTCTTCTTCAGTCCTAACAGACGTTTAAATTCTAACCTAAAAAAACCAGAACCCAATAGTTCCCATACTTCTAGTAAACTCTGTGTATTTGATTATGTTTTATAGTCATCATCTGTGGATTTAGCAAGTGTTAAGTAATTATATTGAGTATACAAAAAGATATCTATTTAAACATTGTGTGTAGATGGCGTGTAAATGCAGACGCAGACTGTCTAAGAACAAACGACAGTATAATGATAATAGATCAAAAGTTACATACAAAGACGTTAATTTGAGTTGACTGGCTGTGCCAACTGCAAGTTATATGGCATAATGTTACTAACAGTATATGATCACGAGGAAAAAATCAGGATTTATTTATTATTATTTTTATTATAGCTTGATTCCACACCGTATTTTTGGTACAAGTATGGAATTTCCAGCATGGGATATCGGTAGCCCAAATTTTACTGGCCTAACATTGATATCAGGTGTGCGTTGATGGGGGATCGAACCCCGGATCATGTGCATGCTCGGCGACAGTCCTAACCTGTGCCACCGACGCACTAGAATTCAAAAATATTTTCCGTGAGATAAGTACAAAATTTAAGGGGGACTCAAAATCAGTGAAATACTAATATAACAGCAACCACAATCATCTAGTGGTCTACTTGAGTTCTTGTATACAAAAATTGAAAATCCCTGCCTTCGCAAAACTCCTATGAGATGAACAGAAGTAGAGGAACAGAAAAGCAGGATGTTTAATAATTCAATGTTCTATGCCATCCTAGATGAAATTTACGAGTTAAAGATAAGATAATTGATGCCCGTCAAAGTGATATAAACCGTTGTCGAAACAAAGATTCAATGAAGAACAATTTCTGCGGCTTATGAGCTGCACTTAACCTTATCCTCTCTATAATATGTAGACAAATGTGTCCAGTGACTGGAAGGTTTACAGTATTTGTAAATGCCTGGAATGTACAGAAAACGCCTAATTACGACATAATGTGAGATTGATGTGATTTGCATGCAGTTTCGTGAATTTTTGAGAACGCAGAGTCGTAACCGCAGTAGATTGGGAGGATAAAAATGTCTAAAGCAGTTAAAGCGGTAGAAAAACAAACCGTCAAATTTATTTCGTCTGTTTCAGATATATTTTCACTATGCTGCTGAACGCATATCATTGAAAAATACAGTAACTCATACAAAAGCGGACTGCTTCTTTTTCAATCAAAAAGGCTATATATATAATAAAGTCCTAAGGACTTAATATTTGTCGACCTCTGTTATATATCTATGAAGTTACCACACATAAACGTGATGAGATTTTAAGCCGCAATCGGTCGTATGTATAAGTAAGGCTGCCCTACCAAAAGCGTTTGCCTATTTAAAAAAAATCATGACAAACATTCAAAAGTGGGATGGTACTCTGTTGTCATGTTGTCATGACAACGACCTTCAAACATTTAATAGTCTCGTTGAATAAAACCTTCGTTTCTTGAAACCCACTTTTTATCGATAAGAAACAGTTCTATATAATCTGAGAGTCTTTCAAGAAATTCCCTCATAGTAAATTCTGAAAATCACTCCAAACTGAAGCTCATAGATTTACGTCAGGCAGAGATGGTATAATTCTCAACTTCTAGATGATTTTATATAACCTTGCATATTATAGTATGACGAAAGAGTTACGCATTTATCACAGAGCATAATATGAAGGTGTTGGTCTTCTTCAATATATAGTTAATACGATATTTAAATACTTCAATGAAATTATCTTTAGAATGGCTTTATGGAACTCAGCGCAAACCCATTGACCGATAGTACTAACTGAGCAAAAAGAACATTTATACCCGCAAATATACATGGGAAGTATCCTGAATGCAAAGTAGAGTAAAAAAGCTTACTCAAAAACAGGGAAGGATGATCATTCACTACTGACGGGCATGTAACACAAGGTTTCAAAAAATATAGAAGGATTCACTGCATGTTTAATCTACTGATGTTCGTCCCCACTATATTTCGCATCAACCACCGGCTCTTGAGTTTTCCACAGAGCATTTAAAACCTCTCGATGCACTGCTGTCCAAATTCTGGCCTTTCTTGCAAACAACCTAGCGATATGCTAACCTTGGTAGTTAGTTTGGCTCTCATGAACACTAACACATTGCTTGAACTGATTGCACTTTTCTCTTTCTGATCATAATTTTGATATGAGTAAAGGTCCAGAGATCAATCTTATATTCCACTCTTCTTTCAAAAAATAGTAATTAGAATGATCATTGATGGTATACATTCGGTTGTAATGTGTACAATTTTCCGGAATTCTAATTTTGAAGAAGCATTCAAATTTCTCGGGAGAAACGCTTTACCTCTCTTATTCTTCCAGAAAAAAGACTAGTTAAATTAGAACGTCTCAATATAAAAAGTACTTGGAGGATCTGGGCTTCACCGATGATATATGTCTGATTTCCCACAAACTGGAAGATATGCAACTGAAAAGCAACAAGTTAGCAGAAGAAGCATCAAAGACAGGACTTCAGGTGAACATAGATAAAACAGAGGTGATGAAAATTCCTGGGCAACACCACCAACAGCAACAACAACAACTGACAACAATCAGCATAAATGGAAGGAACCTGAAAGAAACAACCTCCTTTAGCTACCCACCTGGGAAGCATCGTTTCAACTACACGCGGAACTGATGAGGATATCAAAGCGAGAATCGGAAAAGCAAGACAAGCTTTCACTACTCTCAAGTCTCTGTGGAGGTCAGCAGCACTCAGCATCAAAAATAAGATCAGGATTTTCAACTCCAATGGGAAGTCACTGCTACTCACTATACGGATCAGAGACTTGCACTGCACGTCATAAAGAGCATCTCAAACAAACTACAGACCTTCATCAACAGTTGTCTTCGCTTAATACTCAAGATCAGATGGCTGGCAAGAAAAGATCAGCAACAGGGATCCTTGAGAACGAACCAACCAGGAACCGATTGTGAAACAAATAGGCTGGAAGAAATAGAGATGGATTGGCCATACTCTGAGGAAACCATCAAGTGACATCACTAGACAAGCCATTGCTCGAGTGGAACCCGAAAGGGAAGCGGCGAGTTGGTCGTCAGTGCGAAGGTGGGGTGACTTGGAGGAGGTCATGTGAAGAGGAGATGAAAACGTGTGGGCAGACTTGGAGCCAGGTGAAGACTCTAGCAGAGAACCGAACGCAATGGAGACGCACGGCTGAAGCCCTATGTTCCTGTAGGAATTAAAGGATACAATAATAATAAATAACAATACAAAACGTAAGGCTAATTCTTTCTCATTTTCTATCTTGACATGATCACTAAGCCACCCATCCTCAGAGAGTCTTAAAAATTTCATCGTCTCCCTCCTTGGTAAAGTACTGCTGCTCCCAGTAATGAGAACTTTCGCAAGAAGAAGCAATGAATTCAACAACCTTCCGAGGGATATTGGTTCGTTACAATTAATAACATATTTTTCACAGAAACAAATGAATTTACAAGGAAAGCACACTATTTTCACAGCAGCCGGCGGAAATCGTGAAATTTCAAATCATAAAATATCGGTAAATTAATAGTTCGGTGCGTCGGTGGCACAGTGGTTACGACTCTCGCCGACCATGCACATGGTCTGGGGTTCGATCCCCTGTCGACGCACACCCGATATCTATGGTCGGCCTGCAAAATTTGGGCTACCGATATCCAACCTGAAAATTACATACTTGTACTCAAAATACGGTGTGGCATCAAGCTGTAATCAAAATTTAAAAAATAAATAGTTGATTTGTAACATAAGTTATCAAACAGGGTAATGACGCAAAAATTAACTGAAGCTATTCGACATAATATTCTAACTGGGTACAGTTGAAAATTTAAAAAATGATTAATCCCTTTGAGACCACTTAATATCCTCGGAGCGTTGGCATGATAAGAAATACCCAATATTCAAGACCGAACACGGTGTATATTCTCTAGAATCATGCCTTATGAAAAATTACAAACACCTACGTTTGGCTGCTTCTAATCTTAATAATATCAGCTGTTGTGTCCTAGAAACTTTTGACAGTTGTATTGCTGTTCTCACTAATAACTAACACACAACCTTCACTTGTTCTACATTGCTTCATAAATGTGTCCAGAAGGATAAGACTGAAATTACCTGGCTTCATATGAAGCAATCCACGTAAATTAAGTCCTACGAGTTCAAATAGTGGTTCACCTCTAATCATACATACTTATTTTAGCTTAGTCTAAATAGTGAATATTATCGAACAAAGATATCCGTCAGTTAACGATTGTTCATATCCTTTTCTGAGCCTCATTCACACTTATTGATGGCGGACGTCAGTTTCGCGACGAAAGGTGTGCCCAAGTTTCAATCAGTTTTGAAAATATCTTAAACCAAAGGGAGGAAATTTTCGAGGTGGCATATTTTAGGAAGAATGAAGAGTATGGGTAAGGTTTTGGACAGTTAGAGAACTTGAAGGAAGCGATTGTGTTTTCGACAGCACCAAATGTTAAGCCAATAAGTAGTAACGTTTTGCCTCTTATAAATATATATTTAAGTTGATAGAACCGTCGCAGGTATGTGGATCGGAAAAATGCTAACTTAATAGTTCAGTTAGATCTGCATCGCATTGGACAGCAGCTTTGTTATAAATGATGTTGAGGATATTACAGTGATTATGTTTTGAAATGCTTTTAAAAGTCCACAGAATTGACCAATAGAAGAATTACATTTAAGGGCTACTGATTCTTCTTTGCAAATTGTGTCGGCAGTACTTGAACTCATTCTGTCATAGGCCTTAAGAATATTAACGAGTCAGGAAAAGCCTGTCGGCTTATCACAAAATTCATGGGATCTGCTTAGCTTTATCTTGGAAGCCTTTGTTAAATGCATTAAAGCTTGTGACTTAGGTTCAGAAAATGTATCAAGGGATGGATTACTTGAAGTATAAATACTGGGACAGAAAATGCTAAAATGAGTGTGGAAGTATAGTCAGTGGGATAATGTATTCAAATACTCGCAACGTATGCAGACAGTGCCTGATCCCACAACAACGTTGTAGGAAAACTGTTTAGTTGTTTATTGGTGGAATTACAAGGTCTGCCTTTCGCAGAGTCAAAGATTGATACCATCATCTGGTGACTGCTGCCTTAGAATAAAGGGTCAATGTGAGTACTGAGAAGGGTTGTGTTATGTCTTAACATAAAGTCGAAGGCATTAAACTCACGAGTAGGATTAGTCACCTTCTAAGTCCGAACAAATACCTTCACTGCTTCTACTATATGTTCAGGTTCTGTGAAGAATTGTTGAAGACACAAGGTATAACACTACAGTCAAAAAACAAGGCAGCGATATTTGAAACTATCACATATGCGATTCATCTCACTGTCATCAAAGTTTGTTGTACCATATATGCGCTCCAGCAAAGGCTTTGTATTAAATTAAAAGTTGAAAGTAACCCACGTTGAGCCAGTGGGCGAACAACCTGAATCACAGGCTTCAGTACCGCGAAATCTACCAGTAATATTAATTATAACTGTACTCATTTCCCTTTCTTTCTTGTGTAAAGTGGGTACAGCCTGAAGATTTTAGGAGTAAATCGTTGAAACCAGAAAACAATTAGGTCTCGGTAAACTATATGGCTGACAATATACAATGCTAAAGTAAAGAATTAGGATACGGAATTCTATCACTAATAGGTAGTTCGGTTTTCTGAAAAAGAGCTAGTAAATTCCCATTGGTAATAAGGTTTGATGCATGACTAAGGAAATAGTGTGAGTGAAGAGTGATTGAAGGAAAATTATGTGATTGATATATCATGTGGTCATGTGATAAGACATACATAGACTAGATTGAAGTTCTTAGAGACATTTAGTAAGGGGAATAGGTCATAGATGACAGACTGTCCAACTCATGATTACGGGGATATGGGAATGTGCAAAGTGAGTTATCCTCAGCGTCTAAACATAGCGGATTTAATAGTAAAGTATTACGACGCGTGATAGTGGGTTGCCCGGTGACACTAATAAATGTAGCGATTCAGAGTGTCCAGGGATTAGCTAAATAACGTATTTAATGACGGTTATTGCTTAGAAGAAGTCTTACTTTAGATTTACTGGAGTCTAGAAGGTGAACCACCAACTAGACTTTGCTTAAAGTCTAGACGATACACTCCAAGAGGTAATGCATTTGTCATGAGCTCGTTGTTGTCGGTAAGGTCGGTATTACTCTGCAACGTAATACAAGCCAGATATCTGCAGTTGATTTGAGAGTAATGGAAGAGGGATCTTGGTGGGCTAGATGAAGCTATGTTTTAAGTGCCAACTTGGACAGAAGGAATGGAAGAACGAGATGTCATGCAGAATTTTTCATTAATCAGGTTTTGGACTCAAAACGATCCTATTTCTGCGGCTGAAATTTGGAAACAGTTTCCTGGTTCGTTCCAATACGTTCTGAACTAAGTGCACTTCAAATTTCATCCACTGTTGACAAAGGTCTGCAAAGGCTTTATGGCTATCTGCACTGCAAGGTTTCTTGGCCTCAAAACTCCACTGGAACAATTTGTGTGGTTTTGAAAGTGTTATTATCAGTCTCAGGTGATTTCCATATGGTTCTCGGTAAAAGCCATGGTGTGACAAACAATCACTCGTATGCATCCATGAAAACCTGAGAAGAAATCCGTATAAATCGATATCATAGAAGATATAGGGATAGGCATTCCAATTAGGAAGCGTCAATATCTAATTAATATTCCATTTTTGCAACGACAAAATTTGTATGAACAGCAGTAAAAGTACACAAGCGCGCTTCCAGCATGCAACCATTAAGTCAGAACAAAGTGTTACATTAGTAAGTGATATTTCCCTGCAGTATGTAAAACAAAGTTTGCTATTTGTAGCAAAAATCACTTTCATTTAAACTGTTTCTAGGTGCTGTTCCAACGTAACTACGAAAACCCTTTACGAGAAAACGACATATACCGGCAACAGTGTTTCAAGGTTCTAAGAATTAAAATAAAGCGGCTGTTTGACAGTTTGCGCTACAATACCTCAAGGTCGGTCACTCCATCCTAATAGTTAGGTCAAACACGCGTGACTTAAGTTCGCTGTGACCGTTGATGTTTCTACCTCTAAATTATAGCTCCACTGTTTGATTTTTAGCAGCATAAATGCTGCAAAGTTATCGTGACTAAATGGGTATTACACTCACCTTCAATAACTCCTCGATGACTGAATACATCGAAAAACCTCATATAACAGTTTTCATCTGTTAGGTCCCCAACTAGTCCTTGAAGGAGTCAAGTTAAAGAATAGACATTCAGGGGGAAGGAACACACTAAGAAGCTCTAAATGACCAATCGTACTAAGAAGATAGACAACCCAGTCTGAAAAAATGGTATAAAAAGGAATAGTGAATATTGGGGAAGGCCAATAGTAACAAACAGTGGTGAATTTTGGTTATAGGAGTTGGTTTTTGCCATTTCGAGCATTACTTAGCCAATTCCTTACCACTATTGAACTGTTTTCTTATAATTTAACCGATAGTTTGCAGGAATCTAACCACCATTTTTGTCCGACTGAATGTGGTCGATAACTCAACCGTTCTCTGATTTTTTTTCCTGTAACGTACCCTTGGAATAGCACGATATTCTGTCTTATACTCTTGTACCTCTCTCAACAACTTTTTGACTGAATATGGTGTTATATACCTTGTTTCACTGCCTTGTCTAGAACGTCCTATGGTAATCGTTTGGTCGCTCCTCTGGACGTCTATTTCTTCAACTCCACCCATCTTGCAGACTAATTCACAGATAATCTTGACCATAAAATCAGAGATAGTGGCAAAGTTAAAATGGGCTTCAGTCTGATAACGTTACTAGGAGTGAAATATGAAAAAGGCCACTTAAGCAGGGTTAGGTTGTGAATGAGCAGGAGGTCTTACCCCAGTATAGGTAGAGGCAGAGATCAAAAAACTACTAGACCGGAAGTAAAGGAGTATGAGCACCCCAATATGCAACATCCATTCAATATTGTCATGTGTAGTTGGTAAGAATCAAGTGGTTCTGACCCAAATGAAAGACATTCTCACAATTTAGACTTGGTAGTCTTATTCTGGTGATTGTCCCCGCTGTGAACGCAGGTTGGGATAAAAAAGGACCTACTTATAGCAGTTCCATGAAGTGTGAACAACTTATGATAGCTCCGGGCTTCTGTAATCAACGAGGTCAGGTTCTGGTCAATGCACATAATCCCAGTTCAATTAGTCTCTTCACCCTGCCATAATGGTCTTTATAAAATGGAATATAGAGAAAAGGAACACTTTCTCAACCCAAAGCTGGACGAAACATTAGGAGACTAGTCTAAATATAAGTAGTTCAGTTATTCATTCTCCTCTAGTTAATAGAGACCATGTTGTTGTCATTTAACGGTAGGCCTTGTAACTCTGTTCAGGTTCAAGCTCAAACTTGTCAGATAATTAGATAGTTTTGGGATTAATAAAATGGTAAAAGACTGGGTAGAGATCAACTTGTTGTACAAGAAGATGCAGATATCTTAGTTAAATGATGTAAACATTAGCCCTTGGGAGTTGATATAAGCAATGTTGTTACTATATATGTCACTCGTAAGAACATGTCTAGTTACTCAATAGATGGCTTTATTCTACCTTACCAAGTGCAAGTACTCAGTAGTGGTTGTAAACCATCATCGAATTGTAGAGTAACCGCTACTAATGGTTTTGAATATTACCGGACCTACATAATGCATTTCCAAGTTCTGTATATTATATCAGACTTCATCTGGAATATGGGATCCATCTAGCTAGTCAATTTTCCGAATACAAGGCAAGTATATTGGAAAAGGATCAAAGGTAGGATTTGACAGATCAAAGGACTTCCAAACCTCTGGTATACGAAGGAGTTAAATTGACTAGATTTATTCCCAGGTATGTTGACAGTTGAAGGGTGACGTCATATCAGCAGTCTATAATGATCTGAACGACTTTTTTCAACGTAGGACTCTGCACAGGTGTGCAGCATCTCCATTTCCCACACTCCATGAAGCACACAAAGCAAGAGAAGAAAGTCAAAAGAGATTATAAACAGAAATGTGAGGCAAAAAGAATAATAATATGGAAGAACAATATAGTTTTATTGGATATTATAGGTCACAGAGTGGATGCATCTGCACCATCACTGAGAACGATTTTGAATCACACCATCAATTGTCTCCCAACCTACCTAGCACTCAACCGATACCTCATATCAATATTTCTCACCTTATTATACCACTTTACACGCAGATAGAACGCAGGCACCTATGATCAAAGACAGCTAGCCTTTTCGTATCTCACATCCTCAATGGTCAGGTATCAGTCACAAGCATAAAAGAGAACGGAGCGGACTGCTGAGCAGTACACATACCTTTTGGTCGACAGCCGTCTGGATAACACGTCTGTGCCAAAGATGGCGTAAGCTGGCATTATACCAAGCGAGTCTTCTGTATCCGTGCATAGATTTCTTCAGTGACCAACTCGCTGTCACTGGCTGATGCAACTCCCCAAATTAGTGAAGTGGTCAACGTGCCCCACCAACCACTTCATTCCCTATCTTTAAACTAGGAGTGAGCTGATGTGGACCAGTCAGTCCTGTAGCATCATCTTATACTTAACGGAAGCGAATCGCGAACCAAACATTCTAAGATTGCAGCTCAAGGTGTTCAGAAGACTGCTCTATTTTGTCAGCGTCTTCACCTAGTAGAGAGGACTATATCATCTGCATATTCTAAGTCAACGAGACTATTATTCCCTGATGGTAACAAGTCAAATCTGAGTCACTGAAGTCAGTTAGCGTTAAGTCCTTAGTACATCTTTGATGAAATTAAACAGAAATGGGTACAGTGTGCATCCCCATGAAGGACACTACTGGTCGTCACCACTTCAGACAACAACTTTACCTTCGTAGGCTATCACCCGGCTGGCCACATGAGTTCGAGTAGAGTGCCTTAATCAGTGAGATATATTTTCTCGTCATTCTCTTCACAGCTAAACATCGCCATAGTACCTCTCGGTCGACAGAATCGAATGTCGCTTTCAGGTCAAGAAATATGATGACTGTTGGACGCCGACGTTAAGTATGCCTATATTCCAGAATCTTTCGGAGGGTGGAGATATGATCACTACACCCTCCTCCTGGTCTAAAGTCCGCCTGGTTCTCTCGTGTTTGTTCCTCCCGAATACCGCTTAGTCTACGCATGAGCCTAGAACTTTAGATACCATATTGGTCTAACTAATCCCCCTGTGATTACCTCAGGAAGACTTGTCTCCTTTCATGTATATCGGGATAAACAATGACTTACAGCAGCCAGCCCGACGGGGCTATCTCTGATTCCCAGACGCTGCCTAATACCTCAGTTAACGCAGACAGTAAACTGTCTCCACAGTCCTTAAATATCTCTGGAGTCATTCCATCAGATCCCGCAGCTTTGCCTCATCTCAGACTAGTGATAGCTTTTGTAACCTCAGTTAGGACCTGTGTTTATATCCTATTCAGGGATGTGTTGGATGTTCGGTAGGTTGAGCGTGGCTGTAGGCCAACTAAATTGCTCCTCAAAGTGTTCTTTCCAACGTTCCAGTCGTCTATCTTGGGGGCTAATTATGGCGCCACTTTTCTCAGGGATTGTTTGATTTATCATTTTCTTTTTGCCACCTGTTTCCCTGATAAGCCTAAATAGTTGTCTGGTGTTACCGATCGCCAATGTCTTTTCCATCTCTTTCGACTTTTTCGCCCACCACTGTTCACGGTCGTCTTGGAATTGAGCACTTACACAGGCATCACCGTAAATCTCGAAAACCAGTCGTTTTGTCTGCGTCTGAAAATTTGCTTCCTGCGACTAGTTAGAAACTAGTACTATTCCCTATCGCAGCATTTCGTTTCAGTTTTACTATTATTGAAACAAAAGCTTGGCACATTATGAACAGCAAGAGATGGACGAATATTTTGATGTTGCCACTGTGTGATTACTTTTTTTCTTACTGACTCTTATTGTTTCATTCTCAATCTAATGGATGTCTGTTCATATTTATATTTCTTTAGATTAACCGTCTTTTCGGGACAGTTTGGTCGTGAAATATGAATCACTGACGTATTCATCTTCCGTCAAATCAATTTTTGACTGTCATGTCTATTGGGATTGTTTATGGTGATGAGTACAGACGAATATGTTGCAGTTCACCTAAATTTGGCGATCGCTATGCATTGGTTATGGATCTGATCAATGCATATAAACTTGTTCCTGAACTTTCTCGTGTACCTCCTTTGAAACTGGATTCACTTGATCATATTTATAAAACACTGACCACTTTTCATTCGTAAGTATTTTAAGTAGTCTGCAGAATATCCTTTTTTCATTGCTTTTTATTTATTCCAACACTTAAAAGATCACATTTATTATCCAAATAATAATCGCTTAAATTCACTTTAGATTGTTCAGCACGAATACAGAAGGCTAGTTTTGCATATGCCAGTCTACGCCGTCTCTGGCATAGACGTGATATCCGACTATCGACCAAAGGGCGTGTGTACTGCTCAGCAGTCCGCTCCGTCCTCCTTTACGGCTGTGAGACCTGGCTATTGAGAGCGGAAGACATGAAAAGATTAGCTGTCTTTGATCATGGGTGCCTGCGTTCTATCTCCCATGTGAAGTGGTATAATAAGGTGAGCAATATTGAAGTTAGGCGTCGAGTGCTAGGTAAGGAGGGTAAATCAATCGACGAGGCTGTGAAATTACATCGACTGAGATGGTTAGGACATGTGTTACGTGTGCCTAGTCATCGCCTTCCTCGACGGGCAATGTTAGCTGATATAGGGTCAGACTGGAAAAGAGCTAGCGGCGGTCAAACGAAAACGTGGCACCAGTCAGTGAAATCTACAACAGTTAGTCTAAGCCACGTAGGAAGGTGTAGACTTCCTGGTTGGGGTCCTCGGGAAGGTAAAAACCAATAGTTGGAAACAATTGGTGACATGGCTCAAAATCGTTCTCAATGGCTAGCGCAGATGCATCCACTCCTTGTGACTTATGATTCCCAATTAAACTGTTTTTTTCTTCGTTATTACTATACCTTTGTCTCACACCTCTGTTTACTGTCTATATTATGCATTTCTTCCACTTTCTTCTCTTGCTTTGTGTGCTACATGGAGTGTGGCGACTTGAACTGCCGCACATATGTGCAAAGTTCTATGTCAAAAACAGACAGACAGACTTTAGATTGCAGTCGAAGTACATATAATTTTCATTGGTACAAACTGTATTAGAAATCAATGGATTTTTGGCTTTTATCATGCATCATTAATATGTTCATGACCCGAACCTAGGAAAAAGAATGAAGAACAGTCTGTAAACATTTGAATTGTGAGTGAGCGTTATGGATTATCTCTTGATAATGATTTCACAAGAGTGTATCAGTGCGAGAATGTTTTCTCTAAAAATACGTATTTTAATGGGTACTGCGTTTCTGTCCTGAGAACTTATGATTTTGAGAGATTGTTTGTAAGAACTGTATGTTTAGGCGTTTCATTTGCTGGTGATACGGTTATTTCGACTATTCAAGGAAATTTTAAAGTCCACCAACTGTGGTATCCAGAAGGTATCGATCAGCTACTTAACTCAAGTAACAAAGCAACTAGGACTTTGATTTAGCAATATTTTAAAGCCTACGCTATTCATTCAATTGAAAAATAGACAAGACCGGCGTTCTAATTGTAAATAGAGTTAGGAAATCCTAATACTTTGCACATATAACGACTATGTATAGACTCTGTCGTATGGTTAGTAAGGTATAAATTCACGTGTGGGATTCTGAGTCTCTCCAGACTGATTGGAATTCAGTTCATGTTTATCTACGTATTTCTTATTTCTGTGTTATTAACACATGTACAAATGATATCAGTGTATTGTATGCAAATAATGATCATTTGATTTCTTTTCTACTTCGAATTCAGTGCAGAATATGTTGATGCCCTCAGAAGATTGCAAACGTTACACGCTGAGGAAAGGGAGTTAAGTCCTGACGATGAATTACTCATGGATTCGTTTGGATTGAATTATGATTGTCCTGGCTTTAACAGTGTTTTTGATTATGCTGTAGCTGCAGTCAGTGGTAGCTTAGCTGCAGCTGACGCTTTATTTCATCGATGCTGTCAGGTAAGTTAAAGGTTGGCAATAGTTTTTTTAATTCTCCATAATGGATAAGATTTTATTTTGATAAATCACTTTGATCACTTTTGATAAATCTCTTATAATAAAAGAGTTCATCTATTTTTGATTGTATTTCTCTCTCCATAGTTAATATTATAGGTTTGTATTATTATTATTATTATTGTTCCCTTGGGTTCCTAGTGGAACATAGGGCTTCAACTACACGTCTCCATTTGCTTCTGTCTTCTGCTGTACTTTTCACCTGCGCCCATGTTAATCCATACTGTTTCAATTCCTCTTCACACGATCTCCATGTCACCCTTGGACGTCCCACCCATCGTTTCCCTTTCGGGTTCCACTCGAGCGTTGGCCTGACGCACGATGTCACCCTGCGGCCTCCTCAGTGAGTGTCCAATCCATCTCCACTTTCTCCTGCATATTTGTTGGGCGATTGGTTCTTGTTTTGTTTGTTCCCATAGTTTCTTGTTTGTGATTCTTTCCGGCCATCTGATCTTCAGTATAGAGCGAAGACAGCTGTTGATAAAGGTCTGCAACCTGTTGGAAATATTCTTTGTGACCCGCCAAGTTTCTGATCCGTATAGAAGAACTGACTGACTTGACGTTTGTATTGAAAATCCGAATTTTGTTGTTGATGCTGAGTTGAGTGACGAAGATTTCCAGATTGGTTTCAGGTTGATGAATGTGTTTCTCACCTTCCTGATTCTCGATTTGACATCCTCGTCCGTTCCTCCTGTGGTTGAGAAAATGCTCCCTAGATAAGTGAATGAAGTAACCTCTTTAAAATCCCTCCCGTTGATGGTGATTGGCGCTGTATGTTGCTGCTGTTTTATTATAGGTTTGTACGCTTTATATATTCAATGCAAGTGGAGACAGATGAACCGAAGTGGAACTTTTCACATAAGTTCTCATTCTCAATTGTAATGTACGATAAACAAACATGTGTCAGAGGAAAAATAATAATCAACGAAATAACTTTTTAACTAAGAATGTTAGAAATATCATTTGTTGGATAATTTCCATGAAATCGCAACTTATTCTGATCGTTTTATTCTCTTAACAATTGTAACGAAACTTGGTAGTATTCCATACTACCGGTAGATATAAGTTCTTGGAGCTTTTATGGCAAAACTGATAACTGATAAATAACCAGTAAATAAAGAGTAAAAAGTAGATAAGTCATCGTGATGTTACTCGACACTATTTGCATTCACTTCAGTGCGGTTACTTAGGATACTCGTGGGACATTTATGCGTTATATTAATGCTTTTATGTGTCTTGTAATTCACTTTAAAATTACACTTTCCAGGTAGTTATCAATTGGGGCGGTGGTTGGCATCATGCTAAAAGAAGTGAAGCCTCTGGTTTTTGCTATATGAATGATATTGTTCTGGCTATTCATCGATTGTTATCATCCAGTCCTCAAGAAATCCCAGCCAATATTTCCAGTGTTCAAACACGTGTATTATATCTCGACCTTGATCTTCATCATGGTGATGGAGTGGAAGAAGCTTTCTGGTATAGTCCTCGTGTAGTTACATTTTCTGTACATCATGCATCGCCTGGTTTTTTTCCTGGCACTGGAGATTGGAATGCGATAGATGACAGTGATTATTTAGCCTTTCCAAATGGTGCTGGTCGTGGTCGATTCTCAGCATTCAATCTACCTCTAGGTAGTTAGTTCTTGATGTAGATTTTTTTAACATCATGGTAAATAGTTGTCTTTTTTCTTACTTTCAAAACTTGGTAACTTATAATTCCAGTGACATTAAAATTCATTGTGGTGCACTGCATTGTTACATCTACTATTTGAATTCTTAATACCATGATGCAGTGGCTAGCAAAAATAGCGATGAGTGTGCTGCTGCTGCTGCTGGATTCAACATAGAACTTGGCACCGAGGTGCAGCAGTTCGAGTTGCCACGTTCCAAAGAGCACACAAAGGTAGACAGGAAAATGAGAGAAGAGAATCAATAGAATTTAGATAAGTATAAGAGTGAAACAGAATGAGTAATGGTAGAAAGGAATATGAAAGGTTAAAGAGACTGAATACATCTGCGCCATTGACAACGATTTTGAGCCATGTCACCTATTGTCTGCAGCCATTGATTCTTAGAGTCCCGAGGGTGGGCCCCAACCCGGAAGTCTACATCTCCCTACCTGACTCAGTTTAACTGTCAGGGATTTCATGGATTGATTGATGCCATGTTTTTGTTTGACCACCACTTACTCTTTTCCAACCTGCACCTATATCAGCTAGTAATGCCCGTCGGGGGAGGCGATGGCTAGGCATGCGCAGCACGTGACCTAACCACCTCAATCTATGTAACTTCATAGCCTCTTCGATTGATTTTCCCTCTTTGCCCAACACTCTACGCCTAACGTCAACATTACTTACCTTATTATACCATCTAACGCGAGAAAGAGATCGTAAACATCTGTGGTCAAAAACAGACAATCTCTTCATGTCTTCCGCTCTCAATGGCCACGTCTCACTACCATAGAGAAGGACGGAGCGAACTGCTGAGCAGTATACACGTCCCTTGGTTGATAGCCGAATGTCACACCTACGCAGCGATGAGTGTGTTTACTACTCAACTTCATGTAGATGCATTATTATTATTGTCTCCTTTAGTTCCTAGAGGAACATAGGGCCTCAGTTGCACGTTTCCATTGCGTTCGGTTCTTCGCCAACGTTTTCATCTGTCTCCGCGTCTGCCCACGTGCTTCAACCTCCTCTTCGCATGGCCTCCTCCATGTCAACCTCGCACTGACGACCAACTCGTCGCTTCCCATTGGGGTTCCACTCGAGAGACAGCCAGACACCTGATGTCACTCGAATGTAGATGTATAGTTGGGTGAAAACTACTTGCAATGTGTCAGAATTTATTTTATGATGCCTTCCTATGATAAATTAGTGTTCACGTTGTAGTTGGTTAACAAATTTGCTTGAAAGTAAACAGCATTATTCAATCTTGTAGCTTTCTTGTTACCTGGCTAAAAGTTACGGCAGAAAAATCTAATTAGAATACGTTAAATGGCATATGATGTAAAACGAAAAGGGAAAAAACAAAGAGATATCATAGAATGATCAAGACAATGATAAAATATAATTGCGCATTCCCAATGATCAATTTCGGGCTCTATGGTGTGTTCCTCATCCATTACTTTCATTTTTCTTATAGACTTCATTATATCTTCCACACAGCTGGAGTCAACAGTTAAAAAAAGGCACAGATTTGGTTGGAGGTTTAATCTTGTTACTTCTAGTTTTCCTCTAACCTAATTCTTTCTTTCCCTAGAGAAGAGTTCCACTTCAAAATCACTCATTTTTCACCACCAAAACATATTGTATGCAAAAGAGTATATAACTCTTAGTAACTATTGCCATAAAAGCCTAATTTACCAATATTGTTATGTTCTTTGTGAAGCAGTAGAAGTTTGATCTAGGCGCTCGACTTCCAGGTTCAAATCCCACGGTTGGTGTAGTATCACTAGTCTTCATGTAATAGATGTGGCGTATCACCATCTCCTTAGAAGTGCAAATTGTTGTTGATTAACATTTCACTTCTTTTTGAAGTTGTGTTATTAACAGATTCCATTATCGAAAAAATTTTATTTCGATAAGGTCTCACAGTGTTATACAGTTGTAACAACAGAAGACAAGCCCCAGGCAACAGATCGTATATTTAGGAAATCAACACATATTTATAGATTTTCATGTACATTATTATAGATTATTGTAAGTAAACAAACACAGTCTTCTGATTGGTGGTTTCTTGTTGAACGTTAATCTTTCATCTCTTTGTGACCGTTTATTGAAGTTCAAATTATCTATCTGCAAATTGTATCCGCCTACGCAAAGTCTGCTGTGGTTGGTTGTTGAATCAGTCTTTGTTCTTATTTTTCTCACGACCAATATTGGTGACGTAAACATTGACGTAAATTACAGTCTACCAATTTGGCCAGCAACCAGCTCTCACCACACAGTAATATTTACGGATGACCATGTTTTGAGTACAAATTATTGCTCATAATCATATCAAGGTACTCACACAACTTTCTTGTTCCGTTTATATACATGAGTAAAGACTGATTAGACATTTGAATAAAACCAATACAAGATAAAGTACATCCAGGAATAATATTAGTATTATCAATAAAATACAATAAGATAGGAAATAAGATTTTTTGTAGTAACAATAAGTAACTTGTTAAAATGTCATAATGTGAATTGAATACATTTTAACATTATTTATTAACCTCTGATTTGACTGGTAATAACATCTTCCATATCTCTGCTATTTGCATTGAATCATTTCTGTTGCATGTGTTGGATGTAGACTCGATGAACCAGGATTCAGTAATCAATCTTTCTCTCCACCTACCTATATTACCTTTTAGAATTGTGACTTTGTCCCACCTTTTTGTGTGGTTGTGTGTTCATGCATCTTATTTCCAATCTTAATGACTAACAATATTCGTCTTAATTCTCATGATATTATATTTATTGATAACACTAATAGTAGTTCCGAATGTACTTTATCTTATTTTCTGTTTCACGCAAGTCTTATATTGATTTTATTCAAATGTCTAATCAGGTTTTACTCATGTATATAAATGAAGCAAGAAAGTTGTGTGAGACGTACCTTGATATGATTATAAGCAATAATTTGTACTCAAAACGTGGTCATCAGTAAATATTACTTACTGTATAACACTGTGAGACCTTATCAAAATAAAATTTTATCTATAATGGGATTTTATTCTACTGTAATGCCTAAGTTTTATCCCTTTATTAACAGATTATCTCGAGTTTTTTTCACCCCAATGATGAGTTAAAGCAATTCCAGTTACCTATTTCAATTTCTCTGAGATTTTACAAATATAATTTTATCTTCGATCTCCATACTTGTTCTCTCCTTTTCTACAGATGAGAAGATAAATGATTCCCAGTGGTCACAAGCAGTAGGACCTGTGCTTGACTCATTGAATATGGTTATCCAACCAAGTTATATTGTAGTTCAATGTGGTGCTGATTGTCTGGCCACTGATCCACATCGAATATTCAATCTGACCAATTTTTATCCCACATCTGATACAGACTCAGATTGTAAATCTGAAGATAGTTTAAGCGGTTATTTATATGCTATGAAGAAAATATTATCCTGGAAAATCCCAACACTGATTCTTGGTGGTGGCGGATATAATTTTTCTGATACAGCAAGACTATGGACAAGAATAACAGCGCTGGCAATCGAAGAAGTTAAAGCGAAAAAGTAAGTTACCTAATTTTCTCTGAATTGTGGAAATGTTTAAGCACTGGGTTTTCAGTTGATTGGTTATACTCCACCTATTTCAGCTCAAGCAACTTGGTAGTATTATCAACCCTCACATGATAAGTGTACCTCTTAGCCTGGTACATCAAAAAAATTCTTCAGCTTAGTTGATCTTAAACAAATTTCCTAATCATTAGTGTTATCTCAACTAATTCAGGTTGTGTAGTGTTGACAGAGTAAGATAAATTCATTCTATTTCATAGCTTCTTGCGTCGGTAGTTCATTCGTAGGATACGTAGTCTGGGGTTCGACCCCCGGTTAACGCACTTCTAAACCTCGCCTAGCCAATAATAAGTCTAGTAAGGAAGGGAAGGTTGGGTGTGAGGCTACCCCGTAAAAAATAAACACCACTGCTATTGAAACTTCAAATCTGAAGTCTGAAGCCCTATGTTCCACTCTGAATGGTAGGCTACGGAATATCATATATCAGATGCCTAACATGAAGCAATGTAGAAAATATGTATCAGGTCACTTGCTCACCACACAGAGTCTTAAGATTGTATAAAAACAGAAAGCTATGAAATAGCTGTTGACGTACAGAGACCTCTTGTACATCTTAAGTAGTTCATTGAACTTATCGAAACTTATTAGGAGGATTTTCAGAAGTCATTATGTGGTGAGAGCTATCTACTAGCCAAATTGGTAGACAGTAATTTACGTCAATATTTACGTTCCCAAGATTTGTCGTGAGAAAATGTGAACAAAGATTGATTCAAAACGGACCACAGCATACTTTGCGTATGCGGATGCAGTTAACATATAGAGGATGTGACATTCAAGAAACAGTCACAAATAGATGAAAGATTAACTTTACGTGAGAAACAACCAATCGGAAGACTGTGTTTGTTTGTTTACATATCCATAGTAATGTACATAAAAACATATATAAATATGCGTTGATTTCCTTAATAAATGATCTGTTGCCTGACTCTTGCCTTCTGTCGTTACAACCATATAGATAACTTTGAATCAATTTTCCTTATATATTGGGTGTCCGTGTTGAATATATGTTCAATTACAACACTCGTTATTGATTTATTGTTACCCTTCTGTAGCCAAGCATGATAATGTATCCTGACTCTTATACATAAAGCACACATTAAACAACGTATATATGTGACTCCACAAGAGCAAGTGAGTTGATAGATACTCATGGAAGTGGTGAAATGCACTAGTCTATCTCTGGAGTTATTAAGGAACATTGGACGGCAAAAGAGTACCAATGTTAATGTAGAAGCAAAGAATGTTCTATTCAGGGCACTTGATATTCTCTTCTTTAGAGTGTCGACCAGAAGGTCACCTTTGAATATGACATTCATACATATAATATCTTCCTCAACAACAATAGACTAAACTTACTAATCTTCACCCATCCCCGGCCTAGTTACAAGACGGTGACTATTCATCACCGTTTTGAAATATTCTGATGACGTAAACAATACTCCAAACTAATTTCTACTCTTGTACTATGTACGCACACATACAAAAATAATCGCGATTGTACAGCTAAATGAATGAATTCGCCGAAAAGAGACTCTTCGCTGAACCGTTCGTTCTTATTTCTAATAAATTATTGTTAAGTTTCCCCCAACCCCCCCCCCGTTAACTTACTTCAAAAATAGAAAGGAAACAACTAGATTTCATATCACCATCCGTCTTTGTAAGCGCTTAGTCTGTACCTGGACGAAAAATTCCGTTAATCAAGTAACATCCCAGTTATGTGCATACAATTTTTGATTGCATGTTAAATTGTCACTCTGGATATAATACTGAAAGACACTAATGTTTTTAAGCATGTTCAATTTCTATTTTTTTATTTTGTTTGTTTTAAATTACAGGATTACACTTTCTCCTGAAATCCCAGAACATTCCTACTTTTCTCGTTATGGTCCAGATTTTGAATTGGATATTGACTATTTTTCACATCAAAGTTATAATAAACCAGATGATAATATAAAACAACATCATCATCGTTTACTGGAACAACTGTGTAACTATGCTGATTTAAATAAAATTACTTATGATTATGATAAGCTGTACAAGTTATACAATTCACTTGATCTATGAGGCTATAATAATGCGTTTTATTTCCTATGTGCATTTATTATTATTATTATTATTATTATTTTTATTATTATTATTATTATTGGTGTTAGTAGTATTAGTAGTATTCAGACTGCAAAATTACTTGGTCTTTTCTCTTCAAATACATGTTAATAATATTATTATTATTATTTTAGTGAGTATCACTATTTTATATTTTATAAGTCATTATCTCTGTAATATGTACTTTATAAAAGTGTTTTATCATCAGAAGTATCTGTATCAGTTGTCATTTTTAATAAAAAAAATGAGCAATAACTTATTCACTTTTTCAAGAAAATTTTGCTTTCAAGACTGAGACAGTACTGCTCATGAATCTCTTTTGTGAGGTTAATAGAATTTAATCAGAAAACGTCATGTATATAAATGAAGTTAAAAGTTGTGTGAGTGACTTGATATGATTATGAACAATAGTTTGTGGTCGAAACGTGGTCATCAGTTAATATAACACTGTATAACACTGTGTGATTTTATCAAAATAAAATCTTATCTATAGTGGGGTTATACTTTACCATAGTACCCAAGTTTTATACTTATATCAAGGATTAGGTTTGTTTTTCTAATTTCACCACGGATTGATATCAGTTAGAGAACCATTGAAAACCAGGGAGTACTGGACAGCTGTTTCATCCTAGTTTTGGAATCATTGGCAGTACGCACCCACCACAGAGGGGTTCGAACCCAAGGCAAGCTCGTGTACCATTCAGCCACTGGGACCCGACCCGATTCAATGACCAGCCTATGAATTCTAACTTCTACCAATTCGTGATTATAGCGCGACTACAAACCATTGTTATCGGTGGGAAATCCATCCTCACACTTGACTGGATGGACCTCACTGGTCACGAAATTTTACTAGAACTCCTGATATTTCATTTATTGAAAATTACTTTAAATGGTTGTAAATGAATCTATCGGATTCTGATCTTCTATTCGATGATAGTTCAATGGTTCGGAAACATTGCATCTTTTCTTGTTAGGACGGCAGCGCTTCTTTGTTAGCCGTGAAGTCGTGATTTATGCATGTACCCAGTGTGATAAGCTTAATGGACAGTTTTGATTCGTTTATTCATAGCTTAAATTTCTGAGGGTCTTTAAGTATAATACACTATGTTTTATGTAATAAAAGGTTGTTGTTCCGATCGTCATTTTTCGTGTCTATCTGTCAGTGTAGGCGATAATTTCAAGTGGTCAGTTGGTTATATATAGTGTCGTGTTCTAGTGGTGCAATCTAGTCAAGTTCGATTAACCCACAACCCAGTATCACTCCGCCATAACATTTCTCTACTGCATAGTAGAGCAGATAGGCCGTATATCTTGCTGTGAAGCAGTAATTTTTCATACAGAATTGAATTTTCAGCGTTGTACATATTGAAACAATCTATTTCCTTTTACAGATAAGTAATTACATCAAATAGTAAACATAATGAAACCGTAAAATCTAAAAGTTGATAGGAGAACTATATATATATTCAATAATAATTCTGGTTATAATTTGTTGTTTATTTACAGATTAAAAAGTAGGTTTATAAGCTCTTTTCTGACACTTGTCTCTTTACAGCATAACCCGTTCTAGATATGGTATGGTTGGATTTTTATATTTCGCCGTACGTGCATGAATTCTTATGGAATTTCATCTGGTTTTACCTGAAGAGACACAAAAAGAAAGTTCCGAATAAATAGGGTGTTCAGTATCAGACAAGATGACTTTGACCAGCTGCTTGCAGAAATTAAAATGCCGGTCGACAACAAAGTCAGTCAGTTGAGCCAAAGGTACGTCAGTAACCCTGCTTAAAGCCTTCAAAGTATTACGTAATGTGCAGGATTTCATCGTGAGCTGACATCGGTTAGAGAACCACTGGAAAAACCTGAGAGTACTGGACGACTATTTCGTCCCAGTTTGGGACTCTTCATCTGAACGCACCCACCGGGGTTGGAACCCAGGACCTTCTGGTTCCTTAGATCATTAAGCCACTGGTACCCGATCCAATAGCTACTACGTATTATCACCTAGTCTTTTTTGAGAAGCCCTGGCAAGAATAAGGGGAAAAATAGAGAGGAATTGGCAGAATGCATGAATTAATAAATTGTAGTAGGAGAGGTTAACGAGAATCAGAGGACAAATAGTAAAAAAGGTGATTTCCAACTGTTTTCAATGTTCAACAAGTGCAGCACATCTCGAATGTAAGAATTAAACCACCAATAATTTTTGTGTGAAGAAAACTCATTTTAGAGATTAATAGAAGGATGAATAATTCAGTCTTATACGGATAATAGTGGATATTGGTATCCAGCAAGTTACCAAGTTATTCCAACATTACTGTGTTCGAATTCTAGTTTATTTACACCGTTATCTATTGGAATATATTAGTAATATGTAGGATACCACTAGAATTCTTTATCGAAATTGTAGGTTAATGAGTGCTTTTGTGTACGTGATATCACTAGAAATTTCCTTACCAGTGTTCACTAGCTTGTCGCGTAGAGGTGGAGCGCTTACAATCAAATAGTTCAAAATATCATTCTAAATTACAGATGTTCGTGGCACTTCTATTACTTAAATTTCACAAACGTGACGTTTTTGACCAGTAATTTAGGTCTGGCTAAGCAATACATGATATTCAAAATCAATATTTTTTATTGTTGATTTGATAATTCTATGTTTTGTAGTTTTTCCGTTAAAGAATTTTTACAACAGTACCTTCGTATCGAATTTTCCCGTGTTAAAAGAAATTGATATATCTAATTCGGGATTAGACTTATAATAGAATTTAGTTGGATTATTTTATTTTACGATTTCTTGTGCTTTAAAGACACCACAATACTCTCCGTAAAATTAAGTAACCAAGTGTATTTTGATTGAACACTAGTAACTAGTGCGACGTGTCTAGTCCTTTCTTTGGTGCAGACTGAATTCTATCAGCTCAGTGGTAACGTGTCTGACTGCAGCACTGGGTGACGCGGGTTCAAATCTCAGAAGGGACATGAGTTCCTTCAAGTGACTGCAGATACGCCTTGCTGACGAGTGCCAACTAGCACGAAACCTAGGTCAACCAAGGCTTCCTGCCGATTGCCTCCAACTATTTAATAACCAAGTGTATATTCATGCATTTGTAAATAAGTTGCCGCTGTTTTGGGAAGCCTGTTAACTCTGTGATGTCTTCTACTTAATACAAGTAGTGTATAATACGAGGTCTTCAAAAAACATGGTGGTATTTCATATATAATTGAAAATGATGCTGCCTAAGATAATCAGAGTACGTGGTTTCACTTCTGAAGAGAAGCAATAGATAATAAAAACCTGAATGACCGTAGTACAGAATGACCAACGTTATTTGTATATGGTGGGATGAATGCAGGATTTATTATTTTATTAATGTTGGTTGTAATTTATCCTAATGAACATTGCATCTGTCCTTACCAGTTTTTTTTCTCCGCCAACCCGAATCTCTGTGACGAAAGCACAATTTATATTCGTGAGTTATTGAATAAGAGTTTGAATCAATAAATCACAACTCCACTGAAATATTAACGTTCACACTGACGTGATGCCTCAGTGGTATAGTGCTCACCAACCACTTATGTGATCCGAGTTCGATTCCTGGCAGACTCACTCCTAAACCTGACCTAATATACTAGCCATCAGTAAACTTAGAAAAGAGTGAAGGTTAGCAACCTCATCCGTTCAACAAAACGACACTGCTACTGAAACTTCAAGGTTTGAAACGCTATGTTCCACTCGAAACTTTAAGGAGTGAAGAAAACATTGACGGAGTAGTGTAATTTTTAATTTATTGGATTACCTTGATTTGCGTACAATTAATATAAGTAAATAAATGATGTGAGTATAAAAACAAATCATGAATTTAAATTTTATAAGTGGCATCATTATTAAAGCATTGGATTGTCGTATTGTGGTGAGACCTGGCTGCTAGCCATATTGGTATACAGTAATTTGCGTCATTGTTTACATCCCAAATATTGGTCATGTGAAAACAAGAACAAACACTGACTCAACAACTAATCGCAGCAGACTTTGAGTAGGTGGATACAATTAGCAGAGAGATGATCTGACATTCAATAAACGGCCACAAAGAGATAAAAGATTAACGTTCAGTGAGAAACCACCAATCAGAAGACGGTGTTTGTGTACTAACAATAATCTATAATAATGTACATGAAAATCTATACATATGTGTTGATTTCCTAAATATACGATCTGTTGCCTGGCCTTTGTCTTTTGTTGTTGCAGTACATCTAAGTGTATCGAACAATTTCTAGTTCTCTAAAGTATATCTGGTATACTTGTGCCTCAGTGTCTTTGCCTCTATCTAGCCTTCAAGGCTTGTATCTAACATTCCAGATACTTACGTAGAGCTCATTACGCTGAACATTGTAAACAAGTTCTCCAGAAATTTGTGGTGGGACATTATAAGGTTTGGTTGGCAAGAGGTAAATACAAGATGACAAAATCTTCAACAATTTGCATGCATCTTTGAAGTTACGTCATTATTTCTCCTGTCTTCTAAATTTAAATTGAGGAGTAAACTCAGCCACTTCAGAAGTCTATACCTTCATTGTTTATGCATAGCTGTATTCAAAATATCGTATAAAATGCATTTCTTCACCTTATTTCAGATAATTTTCAGTTTGAATATCTTCACTTTATTTCCGCAGCTCTTAATCCTAATATCTTGTTTTTAGTGTGAATCATTGGAAAGTCCAAAGACAGGACTTCATAGCTGTTCAATAATCCGGGATTTCCAGGGAGAAATCTTAACTCCTTATATACACTCAGCACCTAAATATCATTAATGTCGTAATTCCAATCTTTTGACACTAATTGAAACACATGGTTACCTGCTAATATCCATTTCGTTTATAAAGAATCCTCTCTGTATGTTGTCAGCTTCAATCCTAATATGGCTATCAACTTTGCAATTGCAGTGCAACTAAATGCCTTT